GGGGGCAGGGAGCCGGGCCGCCGCTGGCTCGGCCGCCGCCGGAGCTCCCGGGCTGCCTGCTGCCGCCGCGGCTCGCTGCTGCTGTGCATTGAAGCCCGGCCAAGCGCTGCAAAAACTCCAGCTGCCTGGCGCTCTCTGGGTCCTCCTCTCCTCCCTCCCGCCCTCCCTGCTTCCCTTCCTCCCTCCCTCGCCTCGCCTCCTCCCCTCCCCGCCGTCCGCCGCCTGCCGCCCGCCGCCCGCCGCCGCTCCCTCTCTGGCTCGCTCTCGCTGGCTCGGAGCTCGCGGCTGACATCTAAACCGAGGGAGAACGGCCGGCAGAGGGGGCAGGGGGCGCCTCCCCACAGGCACACGCCCGCCGCCGCGGGTTTGCCCGCTCTCCCCAGCGCGGATGTGTGCAGACACCCTTCTGGGTCCCCTTGGCTTGACCCGAGACATCCTGACAGTAGTGATGTGGGATAGAGGGGTGCAGACACCGTAATACCCGCGCACGATGCGCACTCGGAGCGAGGCACATTCAGCCTCCTCCAAAGGTGATGATGTGGGCGCGGACCATCTCATCCGAGGGACTGAGGGTCAGAGATGACATAAGGCACTCCCCAACACCAAAGTATACACACATATCTAATCAGAACCTCCCAGCTCCCCGCACGAAGGCACCCCTATGTGGCACCTGAAGTCAACCCCGACCCAGGACTGAAGACCTGAGAGAGAGAGCATGAATGGCAGGTGCCCCAGAGCTCGCTGGTTACCCGACTTGTCCAGTGATGTCTACATGAAGAGGCGGGACTGGCTGTTCTCTGAAACCCTAGATCCTAGACTACATCCTAAACAATGATGGTATCAGGGTAGTTTCAGAAAGCCCCAAGAAAGAAACCAGAGATGCTCTGGTTTAAAAAGCTTTCTGACAGGGAGGAAATAGAGGAGGACAGGAAGTGAGACCCTTGCACAGACCCCCCCCCATGAGCCCCACCCACCAAAAGAAATCTCAGGGGTGCCCACCTTGTTTACTCAACTCTGGAAGGGCATCCCTCACCCCAGCTCCTACCATAGTTCAGAGAAGTGGCATAGTCTTCCCCGATGGGCACCCATCAAAGATGTCCATGGTTTCCTTTCCTCCCCACATGTCCCTTCTCCCACCTAACTTTTCCTCACACCCAGAACTTCCTGCCCACTATTCTCCCTCCCATCCAAACATCTCAAAACCTTCTTATTAGGTGGGAATGACTGACAACAGCATAAAATCCCACACCTTCCCATAGAGGTTCTATTTTCACAGAAATCAAAGTTGTAAACTGGGGAGACTTTGAAACGAGCTGTGAGATAACAGGTTATACAAGTCCCGAGGTGGGCAGCACATGTGGGTCAGGCTGGGCTTACCCACACAGGACTTTGCTGAAACTGCTCTCACCGAGAAGGTGATGAATCAAATCCGAGCAGGAGGAATCCAACATTTGATTCTTTGGTTAAAGGGTATTCCAGGAGACAGCGTGGAGCCCTGTTAGTCTCCAGTTCTCCTCTGAGTATTACGTGACCCAGAAGGCACGAGGAGTCATCTTATTAGCTTACGTTAATACATTGATCTGGCTCCTCTCTTCTCAGAAACCCTGGATCCCAGACTCTAGATAAAGCACACAATATCAAGTTAGTTTCAGAAGTACAGAGAAACATATTACAAAATAACTCAATGCTGCTGCTTCTTTGACATCCTTCTGGGGCTGACGAAGCCTGCGGCCAAATGTCTGTCTATGCAGGACAGAGACCAGCATGAGTCCAGCAAGGCACCTTGGATGGAGAACCAAAGGGGGCCCCACTCTCAGGGCTTGTAAACCAGGCCTCTGTGGGTCCTGGCCCCATGTCCAGGGGTCTCCTCTAATTGCTGCATGGCACTATTATAGGCCATGCCCATAGATGACATCAAGATAGTCCTACAGAAAACCCTATTGGGTTGCTTAAGGAATGTATATATCAATCAATGTGTGTGCAATGGAGTCTTTTCAAATGCCTGTTTGCCACGGAGCTTTTGGGATATGCTATAAAAACACTGAAAAGAAGAGGGAAGTAAGAAAACAGCCCTTGCTCCCTTCTCAGTCATTCCAGTGTGTAGTTTTAATACCATCTGATTGTCTTTTCTGCCTGTTGTAACTCTCTCTCTCTCTCTCTCTCTCTCTCTCTGTGTGTGTGTGTGTGTGTGTGTGAGTGTGTATGTGTGTGTGTAAGAATATAGCTGCAAGTTCCAGACCCACTTCCTGATGGATGGACCGGAAGTCAAGGACTTTTTTTCAGAGGTGGCAAATAAAATGTGTTTATTATTCTTTATCTGCCGTCTAGCATGTGGTGTCATTTATTTTCATTGAGGGAAATGAATGTCATAAGGTGTCTGAAGAGTCCTATCGGAGTTGAATGATGGGGAAGAAGTGTGCAGAAAGCGGGGTGATAATGGGCAGGTGAGGGACACACACCCCCTCCCCCCATGCCACCCCACATACCCCGTTCTCCTGTTCTTAATGGGACCCTACCTCACACTGCCTTTCCTGTCCTTCCATTGAATGACACAGGTGAAAGGCACGGGAAGGGGCAGTGACAGTGTAATGGAAGAGTAGGAAGGGTCACACTAACTCCCTCGTGCGGCTTGCTAGTGGCCCATTGGACTTGCTCCTTCAAGTCTGGAGGAGGGGATGGGGGGCTGAAGGTCTCGGTGCTGCAGGTAAAACCCCTGGGTCCTGTTCCTGGCTCTGCAACTGCCCAGGGCTCTCATTTGGAGCAGGCCATGTGCTTCCAGTGAGACTCCATCCCTCACCTGCCACGTTTATCCCTAGCAATGACAGTCAAGGAAAGCACTATCTATTGGTGGTTTTTGAGACCCTAAGGTAAGGACACTGCCCATGTGAGGATTTAGTATCTCTTTTCAGATGAACATGGCTTTTTTTTTTTTTTTTAAATTTCAAAGGGCACATCACAATGAGGGCAGACCTTCTGCTATTTTGACCCATCTCTGAATAAAAACACTAGGAAAAGAAGAGCCACACGACCTTTTGGGCGTAGTGGTACAAGCCCTCCAGCTCCCACACCTCTGCCACCCGTGGCAGCTGGTGAGGGGGAAGGGAGACCCTCCAGGGCAGTCTAGCTGCTCCCTGAGGGCACTGTTCTGTGAGTCACCTGCTCTTCCTCTAGCCTGTCATTGCCTGGTCCCATGGCCACAAGAGGGAGAAGTAAATGGCATTTTGCTCCACAGACTCCTATTTTCTAAAAAGCCTATTTTTGTGTGTGAGATTTTGGTTGTGGTTTATTGCCATGTTTGGGGAGAAAAGCACTGGCTCATCTCTCACAGCTGAATAGAAAGGGCCAGATTTAATAGGAGGGAGAAGAAATGCTCATTTTCCCTCACTTAACCAGCCCCATTTTATTAGCCTAGAAACAGCAACGCTGTTTTAAACCCAGATTTGCCCGTTAAACAAATCGCCAGAGCCTGGTGGTGCTAGAGAGGAATGTTTTCCCCAAGAGCTGCCCCATGACTGGGCCTGCAGGGCTCGGCAAAACCTCAGGCCGGCTGCTGCTTGAAAACCTACATTGTGGCGCCACCTGCAGGAGAGCAGAAATATCAACATTATCCCAAATCTCAGCCGGGAATGGGAGGGAAGAGGAGCCTGGCACAGTGGTGCTTCCCTGCCCACGCTAGGCCAGGGCTGTGGACAGAAAGAAGGATCCCGACTGTCCACTGACCCCTATGTCCTGCACGAGTCACCAGATGGCTTCCCTACAGCCAGTACCTTTCAATTAGCATCCTCCTTGGAAGCTGCCATTTCTAGGGATCCATCCTTGGCAGCTCTAGAGATTGCCAATTCATTCAGACAAACTGATTCTTTCCTTGGTTTACTAAGAGGCTAAGTTTCCAATCCAGGAGTTCTGTCTTCAAGACTTCAGGCCACAGGATAGTAACCCAGAAGTAACCCTTGGAAACAGGCAGGGAGAGGAACATCCCCTGGCCACCCCAGTCCCTAGCTGTGGATTGAACTCTGTGGTCCAACGGCTCCAGGTTTAACCAGCCATTGGATGTGAATAAGGACCAGATATTAACATCTGAATCTCAACCCCAGTATTTTCTGCTCTTCTAAGGCTTTGGCCCCGGGTGATGTCCCCCTACCTGTCAGAGACTCCCAGTGGTAATAGTGCTTAGGAGTCCATCATGTTAGTCTCCATAGGTCTCCTCTCTGTCTCCACTGCCCACGAGCCATTGGATGGGAGGACATCTCGATACTGCCAGCAATGCTGTGTCCTTCTAAGGACACCATGTGGCTATAGTGCTGTATGTGGTCAGCTCTGCAGCTCTGCTGTGGCTTTCTGGGCCACACTGGGGGTGGATACCAAGATAAGGAGGGTCCCCCATTCCCAACCAGAGAGGGAAAGAGAGAGAGTGTGCATAGGTCTTCGTCCTCCAGGCCTCAAACAGCTCCTGCCTCCCATGGCCCAAATCTTATTCCCTCTCTCCCCACAGC